ATCTTACTAAATACCCACAAAAATCAAAGATGGAAGGGAGCTCAGTGGGGTTTTTTTAGGATCTAGGATTTCCTGGGCTTATGGCCCTCGTTTTTAAATAAATGAATAGAATACTATTGCCTGTCCTTAAACCTAAGAGTAGAATGTGAACACAATCTACATGAAAATATACTGGAGGGATTCTGGCCAATCAGAGTATATGGGCAAATAGTCTAATCAGGTATAAATAAGGCAGGCTCCCTGTGTTCCTGAGCAAAGTAGTTGGGAGCTGAAACTATGAGGAATGAGTGGCTTTTTCAGGCAACTATGTGCTCTTGGAGATTTAGCCAAAGTAATTAAACGTAGCTCAATAAGAACTTGTGAAACAGCATGTAACATGGACTTTGAAAGCTGACCTGTAAAAGAGCTGATGGATGGAGTGGCGCTGCAGAGAAATGCAGTATTTTTATTTTTAAAAAAACTTTTCCCAGTCCTATGACATGACATACTGCTTTGACACAAAGTACCTCATGCTTCAGAGTTAAAAAAAAAAAAGACATCACGTGGGAAGATCCCTGATTAGTCATTCCGAGTTGAAAGCATGGCAGGATTAAACCACCAGCATGATCAAGCTACCAACTGTACTTAAGAGATGAAGGAGAAATTCGAGTCAGTGCCATTTGTTAATATGCATGGGCCTGATTTGCACTTCCTGAAACAATACCTGAACTGAAGCACAGTGATTGTTTGACTTTCACACGTCTCAATCAATTTCCATAAGGGGGAAATTGCTTGTAAAAAAAAAGTATATCAGGCAAAAGTGCATATGAAAATGTCTTAATGAGGAGGATTTTTATTTATTTTTAAAAAAGCATTTATAAGCCGCTTAGTATTTTAAACATCTCTAAGTGGCAAACAATATAAAAATCAAGCAATATCATTAATACAAAAATATAAACTAAAACTAACAGAACAGTGGCATAAACACATTTTTTAAAAAACAGAAAATCAAGCCTGGGCAAAACGACCGATTGTTGCTGTTTCAAGATTGGCACTTAAATGCTGACTAATTCTCGTGAACATTTTTCTTTTCTTTTCTTTTCTTTTTAGAAAAAGCAAACTGAAGGAGAACTTAAGGTTAGAAGTATGAGAAACTGAGAGAAACTAAGATCGATAGATTTGGCCATCCCTAGCTGGACTGCACTGCCCTCCAGATAACATGCCTCAGATCCATCTTTAGAGTCACATTATAAGGGACTCCTCAGCAGCAGGTTCCAAAACAGCTTGACAAACGTCACAGAGAAGAAGCACCAACCCTACAAAAAATGTGACTTACGTTTCACCTACTCTACAGCAGTGAACAGTATGACATGGACACTCTAATGCAACTTCCTTCCTGAATATTCTGGGAATGAACCTGTCCGGCCTGTTTCACCTGCCAACAAGTTACTACCGCTGACTTATTGAACACTCTAGTTTTGTATTCACCACCTCTCTGGTACACTAAGGAGTCCCGTAATAAGCTATTAAGGGCATTTAATTTTACCAAATTAGAACTGCAAAACACAAGCAACTGGAGCAGTGAAGTTGGCAGAAGAGACATCAGGCCCTATGTTAGAATATTGGATTCATCAACAGCTATATGTGCTAAGGCTGCAGATAATTGCAGTTCTATCAGTAAAAAGCATGTTTATCAAATCCAAATTTGCTGCAGTAAGAAAAGCAGATTAAATACTAGCACACCAGAGATAGTAAAAAAGAGCTTGATATTATGTAGCAACCATCAAAGCATTCAGACAAATGGGCAAATAAGAGTGAATAAGTATAATCTGAATATCCTAGCAGATGTTATCACTACAATTACATGAATGTAAGTCGCATTGATTTAAAATAGAAATTTCTTCAACAGTGTGTGTTTAGGATCAGGGTCTTACATCACTGATGCACTGCAATAATCTTGCCCTGCTTATGTTTCCCCTACATCATACAGTGGTACCTCAGTTTAAGAACTTAATTTGTTCTGGTGGTTCGTTCTTAACCTGAAACTGTTCTTAACCTGAGGTACCCCTTTAGCTAATGGGGCCACCCACTGCAGCTGCGCTGCCACCGCATGATTTCTGTTCTCATCCTGAAGCAAAATTCTTAACCTGAGGTACTATTTCTGGCTTAGCGGAGTCTGTAACCTGAAGCATCTGTAACCTGAAGCGTCTGTAACGCGAGGTACCACTGTATTGTCATTTTAAAACATGAAGTCTTCCCTCAATGGACTCAGCTCAATGGCCATACAGTGCTATTATTTTAAAGCTGTCTGATTACGGCTGACCCATGTGCAGTGTGCCCCCAGGGATAAGAAGGGTGAAGTGGCAAACAGGTAGAAAAAAATCGTCATAACAATGTTCTGGAACTGGAAATCGGCCACAACTTTATTGGTTACTTTATTGATATATAAGTAGGCTTTGGTTTAGGCCTTGGGTGTGTATCCTGAATCAGCTTCCTGCCTAGTGACTGAAGTTTGAACAGGGCCGTGCATGGGTTATGGGTCACCTCAAGATGCAGGTCAACTAAGCTGACCTCTAGGCCGCCATTGGAAGTTCTATATCACATCTGCTCCCAATTAGTCTTCAGGACAGAAACTTCCAGCCAGATGCCTTTACCCTAAGATATTGCACCTGCTCGAGGGAGGAGGTGATACACCAATTCACACCACTCCAAGAAATAGACTAAGAATGTAACCCAATGCCTTAACCACTGAAAGCTGTGACATTTGCTCTGGGGAAGGCAAAACCCCCAAATGGACCCAATTTGTTTACGCCCAATTATATCCACAGCAAGATCTTCCTAACTCATGGCCTGCTGACCTGCGTATAGGAGGGGTTGATCTGCCCCCAACTGTTCCGCTGACTCTCAGTTCAGCCGGCATATATACTGCAGGGGCAGACCAGAGTGAAGCCTTGCTCTCTCTGGTCCGCTGCTGAGGGCCTGCCCCTTCAAAGGTCTCTATTGGCCATTTCAATTTTAAAATTTTGGCGGGCAAATGCCATCATCTCTAGCGGCTGACCAGGGCTGACACCAAAGTCCACCCACAAAGGAGAAGGGGGCCATTCTCTCTCCCACCCACGGATCCACTGCCCAAGGGCTACGCCAGGCCACAACTGTCTCACACCCCTGAGATGGGAAAGTGATCTTCACAACTCAGTGACACATGCTTATTTTCCTATAGCCCACAAATAATAAAAATGATTTTTTTTTTTCATTTTAAACCTTTCAAATTTAAACATTCTGTTATACTGACATTTCACACCAGCCCTGTTCATTCATTACTCACATGGCATTTCACACCAGTCCTATCCACCCATTACTTGCGTGTAGGGAAATGGGAGCACACTTTTAGCTTCCCTCTTGATTTCCCATCTACTTCCTGCAACAGAGTTTTCCTGCATGCACAGCAGGGTGTCCTAATCATGCAAAGTCCTCCATGTGAGCAAGAGCTCACATACTATGTTTTTATTACAGACAATGAACGGTTCTTCTGAGAAGCAGACATGATGTCAGGGGTGGAGCTAAAAGTGTGCCCCTGTTCCTAAGTCAAAATGCCATTGCTCAGCACAGCATCAATCAGGTTTTTCAGGATTTCTTTTCTCTAGAACAACCATCTCTAGAATCTACGTATCTGCAACTGCAGCTGACAGATTTGGGGGTGGGGGGAAGGAGAAATAAACAGTGTCAGACATTGGCAAGACAGCTGAGAATAGCTACAATCAGATGGATTTCATTTGCACAAACCTGTTCTTTGAGTGTTACAATCTGTGGTCTGAAAGTTAGGGGAAAGGTTCCGTTCCCAAACGGGCCATTATGGCAAGATACAGGAAATAAATTCTAAAGTAATGTATTGTGAGAAAGAGGAGGAGTGCAGGCAAAGAAATGCTCTCTCCTCTAATGCAAAATCTACAAGTTGTTCTCAATAATGAAGACATGCAAAGTATGAAGGGCAGCTGCTGAAATTTATCCCTTGTCTTCCAGATCTCATACTTTCCTGTTTATCATGCTTCACTGAGAACCTGGCTGAGTTTCTCTTTGTGTATGATTCCAGCACAAGATTTTCTCTCACCCTTTCACTTTCTTTACTTTCTTTCTTTCTTTCTTTCTTTCTTTCTTTTATATTTTACTTTTTTCGCATCTCTGTTAAAGCTCATATGGATGTTTTTTCCTCAGAAATCCCATATGGTGTAGCCTCAGTTTGTGTGTGTGTGTGTGTTATTTAGTTTCTCAAGATGGCTTATGAAAAAATCTAAGGTGTAATTAACACATTTCATCTTCATTTCCACCAACCTGTGTGTTTATTTACACAGCTAGATATTCTGAGTTTCATCCACACAAAACACTTCATTCATTATTTGTTTACACAACCAATTAACTAAACTAATGATTAGTATAGCCCTTCCCTAGGAGTATGGAAGGGATCTTAACCCACATTTATCATCTCAGGATATCACTTTGTGATATCAGATAAGACTTTTTTGCATTTAATGTAAATTTGATTCTTCTAATTCAAGAAGTCAGCCATCCCTTCCTCCTTAACTTTATTGTTTTGTGTTGTATAAAACAATATTATCCATGCTGAATAAAAGATTGACCTTAAAATCCATGCCACGAGTTAATGACTTATATGTATATTGGATAATATTTAATAATATTGGACTGAATTACTGAATAAAAGACTGATGCTGGAGTTATTTCTGTTCATCTTGAAAATGTCTTTGTGTATGTGTGTGTTGAAAGCACAACTCTTTGCAATGTTTCCATACTTTTCTCATTCATGATAAGCTATGGTTTGGCTCATCATTACACATAAACCAGGCCATTGAGAAATTGAGCAGTAAGTGAAGTACTGGATACAAAATACAATTTATTGTATTCAAATTTTGATGAGTGTTTCACCAAATAAACCTAAGCAGAAATGAAGAAACTGTCCCCCTCTAAGTCTTGCTGGTCTACCATTCCCATCATGCCTTGACCACGTTGCCTGGGGCTGGTATAGCTCAGTTGGTAGAGCATGGTATTCTTAACCATGTGAGTTCGAGTCCCATGCTGGGCAAAAGATTTTGTATTGCAGGGGGCTAGACTAGATGATCCTCATGGTCCCTTCTAACTCTACCATTCTATGATTGTAAGAGTCCAAGCAAATTTCCTATCACTGGCTTAAAGGGCTCTGTTCCAACTCAGGGACAAGGAAAACTGCATTTAACACTGCTCTTCTTTCCTCTTCTTTTCTCTATGAATTACCAGGCATCTTTGTATAAAAAGCAGATAATAACTATAACACGAAACAAGGTGGGTTTTTTGGTATTTTGCAATAATTACTTTTATTGAGGAAGAGGAAAGCGTGAAGTAGAATGGCACGGCTGCTGCCTATTTTCCTTGGATCTTGTAATTTAGGGGAAATATTCAGGTACATGGAAGCTGAAAACAATCAAACCCTTTTCAGGCATTAAATCCTAGCCAGAACACTTTCCCTCTGCATTGTACACTCGCATGTTATGAGGATTTTTTATTTCCTTTGCGAAGCAATAAATCATGATCGGAAGGAAGAGTATATTGTACCTATCCTTTGTAGACACACTCATATTATGACATTGGAACGAACTATTTTTTAACGCAATAAACAAAAATTTAAGCAGCATTACAATAACATAAAAAAGATAAAAGTATAGTTCTCCGCCATCTATCAATGCCTTTTTTAATATGTTGAACAGAACAGATATCTCCCCGGGCTAAGCATGCATCTTTCTTATTTCACATACGTACACCAAGTGGCACAGCTTCCAGTCAAAATAAACATTTGTTCATTTCCATTTATCGTAAACCAAAGAGAGGTTAGCAAATGCATGCTAATCCCAGTAGCGTACCCAGTCCACAAACAGCTAAGCAGCTTTGCTTAAGAGCAATGCTAGATCCAACATTCTGGTCTCAGAGTGGCCAACCAGCTGCCTATGGGAAGCCCACAAGCACCACACTAGCATGCGGCAGCTAGACTGGTGACTGGGAGTGGCCGCCGAGACCATATAGCACTGGTCCTGAAAGACCTACATTGGCTCCCAGTATGTTTCCAGACACAATTCAAAGTGTTGGGGCTGACCTTTAAAGCCCTAAACGGCCTCGGCCCAGCATACCTGAAGGAGCGTCTCCACCCCCATCGTTCAGCCTGGACACTGAGGTCCAGTGCTGAGGGCCTTCTGGAGGTTCCCTCACTATGAGAAGAGAGGTTACAAGGAACCAGGCAGAAGGCCTTCTCGGTAGTGGCGTCCGCCCTGTGGAACGCCCTCCCATCAGATGTCAAGGAAATAAACAACTACAGTAATACTTCCGCAAATGTCTGCCTTGTCTAGCGTCCATTCCAGTGAATGTCCGTGGCAAACCTGGAAGTACTGGAACAGGTTACTTCCGGGTTTGCCGCTTGCGCATGTGCAGAAGCACTAAATCACGCTTCACGCATGCACAGAAGCGCAAACTGCTCCCCACGCGTGCACAAACGCAGCACTTTGCCCTGCGTCCCTTTTGGAGAATGGCCGAGGCTCCGGAACAGATCCCGGCCGTAAAACGAGGTACGACTGCATCTGACTTTTAGAAAACATCTGAAGGCAGCCCTGTTTAGGAAAGTTTTTAATGTTTGATGTTTTTAATACTCTGTTGGAAGCTGCCCATAGTGGCTGGGGAGGCCCGGCCAGATGGGCGGGGTATAAATAAATAAATAAATAAACAAACACGAAGAAGAAGAAGAAGAAGAAGAAGAAGAAGAAGAAGAAGAAGAAGAAGAAGAAATAATATTATAGCACACTAGCACATTAGCACTCTCCCATTCATGTTCTCCAGCAACTGGCATTAATAGAAATACTGCCTCGGATACTGAAGGTAGCACATTGCTATCACAACTAGTGGCAACTAGGAACCTTATCTACCATTTAATCCCCTTCAAAGGCCTGAAAAATCTATGATCACCACCAGAGCTTGTGGTAGTGAAATCTACAGTGCAGTGTGAAGAGGTACTTCCTTCTGCCTGCCCCAGATCAACATTCAGCTTCATGGGATGACTCCAGGTTTTAGTATTATAAGAAATGTACCCTTCTCTCATAATAACACTAATTATTATGATTAACTCTCTCTCTCTCTCTCTCGTTATCTTTCTCCACAGAATACTTAATTTTATTTTTCTCTGTAGCGACAGATCAAATTGTTTTACCCATTTTCAGTCATTAATGTATACATACATATTTTGCTCTAAACAAGTTCTGTGTAAGCATGGAGTCGGGTGACCATTTGAAATGTTCTTTTTTCCTCTTCTTTTTCCTTTGAATTACTGTGCATCGTTGTCAGTATTTGTGGTTGTCAGCTGTTTGAATGGTCTGACATGTCAGACACATGCAGATTGGACTCACCATTGCCTTGTATGAACCCAATTTCTTAATTTTTTAAGAAGGCAACCTGTGATCTCACCACACATCCGGACATAGAAGAGTATTATTCAACCCCTTAACAGCCATGATGGGGGGGGATCCCACTGGCCCTCCAGATGTTACTGGAGTTCAAATTCCATCCTGCATTGGTCAGAGATGATGGGAACTGTAGTTCAACAACATCTGAAAGACAATGGCTTCCCCATCCCTGTATGAGCCAGCCTGTTCCAAAAGGCTAGAAAACGTTTTTGGAAAAGTGGATCGAACTTGCTGAGTTGCAAGTTTGACATATATTCCTCTGCCCATCAGCTGAAAGACTCATCAACTGGTGTTGGCTCCAACATGTAAAAACTCCTTGTGTGAACTGAACGTCATCTGGAGTGTAACATCGCTGTTATGGTTTGTGGTAATGTTATGAAAGCATCTCAGGGAAAAAGAGAGGAGCGAGACAGAGAGAGACTAAGTGTTTTCTGCTATTTCCTTATTTATGCTTCCTACAAGCTATATAAACCAGCCAATCAGATGATAAATGCTCCCATTTCCCATCATAATTAGCTAAATATTCTTTTACTTAAACAAGCTCTCATTTTGTTATAGACACAGTATAATAGATCCATTAACATGGTCTATCAGAGGCCAGGGATCTTTTATTTATGAGTGCAAGTACAAATGGTAACTATTTTTTATATGAGTTTTTCTTCTTCATACCGCACACCCGTGTAATGGCTTGGCTCCAAGCAGTAATCACACAATGGGTGCCTCTCCTTCTTCCTTGACCTACCACACTGCACATGATTTAATCCATTGTTTTGGATGTTGCTGATGATTTATTGTACAAAAAATGTAAATGATCTGGATGGCAGATGTTTTAGATTTTCTGACCATTCATTTTCAGGGGGAATGTAATTAAAATTTATGAAGTGTATCTGCTGAATTGCATTGGCAATTGATGATCTCTTCCAGTCCTGTCTGTCTGGAGATGATGAGCGATTGTGGACAGTGAGATGTGTTGACAAGGGCAGAAACAGACGTGATGTTACTGTCAGGAGCGAGGCTACCTGAGAAAAGGCCTGTGTGTCCCCCCCCCTTTCCTTTTTCCCACAGGAAGAAGGTGGCAACTAGAGCTGTCTTTCTTCTTGCTAGACAGACTACAAAGCCCCACCGTACTCCTGAAAGCTGTCACTCTTCACAACTACAATCTCCGTCTCCCACAGCAATAGGCATCTGGAAGGCAAGATATCATTTACAGCAGCCTATGCCAGGGATGTTAATTAAATTCCTGATGGCCACCCAGAAAAGTTAATGACTGTAGATTTCACAACATCCTAACTCATAAAAGCAACATATTTAACCCTTTGATTGTCAATTCCATCCTTGCTCTGAGAGGGAGGAAGACAAAGAGGGAGAGATTATATCAGGGGCATGTCAAGAGGAAAGTATCTAAGTATTCTAAGCAATCTGAAGAGCTCTCTGTGCCACATCAAAAAGTGGTCAGCAGAGTACCTTGTAATAGAGTTAAGTTGGAGTCAGCCTCTTGAGCACAATGCAAGTTGCTGATTCACATGCTAAATGCAGATTGACTGACATTGGGGTTTTGTTTTGTTTTGTTTTGTTTTTTAAAGCATACAAGTGGCCATAGTGCTTACAAGACTGGAATTCTGCATCTGACAACCCTCAGATTCAATGTGTCAGCTAACAGGTTTTAAATTGGGTCTTACATTTCCCATTCCTAAAATATGTATTGCTTCCATCGTGTGAAAACCACACTCAGAATCTGGCCTCAGCCTTTAGACCCTGATCTGGGGGTGTAGCTGAGAAAAGGTCAAATGTCAATAACAAGCTTATACAGAGTACAAACTACAGGTTGACAACTACAAATAGAGCACAGGGTATGATCGAGAGAGTTGAACATAGGATGACACAGGTCACCCTCATACTGCCAGTATTTTGTGGGGAGAGGGGGCATCAATTGCATCCTGGAAATTTGGGTCTGTGCAATGAAAGTGGATTAAAGCACTGTGTAGCCGTAAATCCACTTTTTAAAAATGGACTTTTTGTGGTTAGGAAACTGTCAACTTCTCATTGTGGTATAACCTCCCTGTCAACAAATCAGAATGATTCCCGAATAAAGAGTAGACATCATCTAACCAGGCAAAAGTGTTCCTCTATAACCAGGCCTTGGACTGATTGAACAATCTATTGCCTTTTAAATGTGTCTGTGGTGGTGCTGTGGGATTTATTGGTTGTTGTTTGTTGTTGTTGTGTATTTTGTATTTTTATGCTGCAAACCACTCTGTGATCTATATAAATTTAATAAATAAATAAAACAAACATTGTGTAAGTTTTGTGCAAGCAAACCATAATAAATGCTGAATAAACAGGTCTTATGGAGGAGCCCACAACCATTGTTGCACAGTGTATACAAAACTCAGGGCCAAACTTGCGGTGTTAATAGTGTGCATGCCATTAACGTTCATAGGTTTGGTTTGTGTATTGTAAATAGCAGCTTCAGAAGAGGGTGGTGAGGTTGGGAAGGGGAGTCTAACTTTTTTTCTCCCCAACTACAGTCCCATGTAATAATCACAACTGGATAATACAAGTTTTTGAAAACTTGGGAAGTGTCAAACAAATGCTAAGTGCAAAT